ACTCCTTAAATTGAAAGAAAAAGAAGGAAAAAAAATCTTACACATTAAACTAAAAATACACACACAGAATGCTCCACAGTACCAGAGAAGTCAATTACTTGTCCATGTTGTGATGCATACGGTTAACATTGAGTGTGTGCACAAACCTTTAATGCCAGACTTCACAGATCTCACTGCGGTCAGGAACACAGCCAAAGCCATAAATGTAACACTCGATTTTCAGGGGAGATGGGAATGTGGAAAAAAGTTTGGGAAATTCTCCTATGAGGATGCCTTTGAATTGCTCCAGATAACCAGGGAACATTTCCTGTAGCCTCCAGGCATTAGGATGTGGCACAAGGGCATTTCTTCATCTCCAGGTCAACCAAGCAAGGCCAAGGCTGCTAAGCCCATCCCTTTCCTTCACACATACATGAGAGGAAACTCCCCCTCCTGCGACTGGACTATAGAAGGGAGGGGAGGGAATGAGACGAAAAAAAAAACTACCGTCTTCTGTCCACCATTTTAGAGAGAGAAAAGGGATTCCTCAGCTGCTTTTCCTGTCTGGCATCTAAAGGGAAAAGGCAAGAGATCAGGCTGTTTCCTCATTACATTAGATGGGAGAGGAAGCAGGATAGGAAGAGGGCAGGAAGCAGCCAACAAAAGGTAAGAAGAGATTAAAATTCCCCATGTACTAATGCTTTTGCACTTGAATCCAAATTCTTAGAAATCCACAACCCAGCTGTGGAAAAAGGACTTTGGGAAAGCTGGGAGGGGGAATAGAAGGATGTCTGGCTTTCTCAGCATAAGTACATGTTTTGCTTTGTTTTGTATTTGCATACTTCATCCAAAGTGTTACACAACATGAAGCTTTATATAGCTATATGGCAACACACACTCCCCACACATCCAGGGAAAAACCTTAACCACACTCAAATTTGTTCAAACGAACATCCAGGTCTAGCAGGACACTAATGTTGACTAGGTACCACAACAAAATTATGCATTAGAAAATATTCCCTGCCTAGTTCTGAGAGTACAGCTTTCCCATGGCAATTCCGATGCCCTAAATTCACTAACATTTGCCAGATAGCAGCAGCTGCTCCAGGATTCCTTTGGCAAACGCCGTATCTCACTTTTTTGTTCTCAGTATGCTGCAATTTCCTGTGGAATGAAGAAATCTATACTACAAAGAGATGCAGTACTAACACTTTCAGAAGTAAATTATTTTACAGCACATTAATTATAGAGAGAAATATAATACTTGGGCTGAGAAATTCCCAAGCAGAGAGAGATTAGAAAAACAATCGGATAAACAAACACCATCAAAACCTGTATTGTTTTAAATTCAGTGCAAAAAATATTGGGTAACTTGCTGTTTGCTGTTCCTAGAAAGAAGGGAATTCTGTTGCCAACAGCTGTAGTTTTTCATAGGAATTATAAGACTATATTGAAGATTTATGTTCCTAACAAAGGCATAAAGTTATCCAAACTAGGGCAGAAAAACCAGAACAGTCTTTTCCCAATGAAACAGACACACATTACTTTTGTTAACTCTTACTGTGGCAGTAGTTTTGATCTTCAAAACCAGAAACTCATGCTGTGGTTGATGTTTATAAAGATAAAGTCTTGCAATGTCACTCTACACAGGGTGAACTGGCTTATCATAGGTTGTTATACAAGCCAGAAAGATACCCTATCACCTTTAAATCAGTTAAAGTCATAAATACTTACCTCCAAAAGCACATGACTTTAAACTTCCTTCTTGATATTTTGGGGTTTTATAACTATGCTTTCCCTAGCACAGTTGAAAAGGCTTCCTCAAAGCTGTGGCCATCTGACAGATGCACGGGAGAGACAAGAAAAGGGACCCTAGGCAAAAGGCTGTCCTTGCATAAAGTAAACAAGCAAGGGGAAGAAATCTTGGGTCTCTTTGCTTCAGTTACACAGATGCAAGTGGCCCTACCTGCCTGCACATCATCCTCCTGATTCTCATGGAAAAACTATTCCTCATGCTCTGCAGGATTAAGGTCTTCTTTGTCTGGAACTATATCAGATAACAGTATACAAAACTATTATTTTTAAGTCAACTGACATTCAGCAATAAAACTCAGGATATCAGAGGTTTTTAAAGTTCATTTATTTGCAATCAGTCAAACAGCATAGTCTAGGTTGAATCCTGGGCCAATTTACAGTTCCACTCTATGCTGTTCCATGAACATTACACCGAGTTACACAACTTGGGAATCAATAAATCCATTGCCTTGAAACAATTTGCTCAAAGACTCACAATGAGTCAGTTGGCAGCGTCTTGTCCATATCTCAGACTTTGGCTTCCATTTTACAGTTGCTTGGTCCACCAGATCATATTTATACAACATCAACAAAAATATTTTTATTTCTGATTTTCTGAAATTGCTGTTTTCTTGATTTGTTGGTTTGGGCTTGTTTTTTACTAGGAAAAGAAAATAAGCTAAAAGCTTATAAATAATTACAGTTGTGATTTTTTTTTAACCAACTACACTTCTCAGCTGAAGGAAGGATTCTCTTTGAACAAAATGCAAAATAATTCAAAGGCCTATACACAAAAAAAATCACTGGGTACATGCCAGTTTTCAGGTTCAGATAGACATAATCTAAGTCTATTTAATTACTGACTTTAAAAATCCTACATGTAATCACTGAAAAGCAAAAGACTAAAATAAAAAAATAAAATCTTCCATCGAGGATGAATTTGCTACCACTCCTTAGTCCTGCAAAAGGGTCTGTAAAAACTGAGGATACTTTCTTTAACAGAATTTAACTGAGCATAAGCAAGTGAAAAGAAAGCATTCAATTTCCATAGTATTTATGATCCAAAGAAAAAAAAAAATTAAAAATCTGGGGACATAAAACCAACTTCCATTTTAAAAGTTTCAGGGTCTAAAAGCAGGATAGTGCACATGTGGCAAGCTTTCTTCACCACAAATGGCTTCTTTAAAACAAATTACCATTGACAAATAATCAGCTATAAGAATAGTTTCCAATAAGGCAGAAGTTAAGTTATCTAGCATGGCACTAGAGAACACACTTAATTTTAAATGTGCTTATAGTTTTATTAGAGTCAATGGCTTTTTCCATGCTTAAGGCTAAGCATATGTTCATGTACTCTGCCAAGACAAAAGCTTCCAAGTCTGTTGTTAGAATGCAAAGTGAAGCTTTTTATCCCAAACCACATTTTCTTGCATGTAATCAGCGCTGATGCTGCCACCATAGTTTCCAATTCATTCTAGGGTGCACTCAACATTTATGAGGGCACAGATGGTGCTCTCTTTCTTTGGTTTCTAAAGAACATGCCTAGATATTAAAACAAACTTGGCTTTCTGCCTCTTACCCTATTCTTACTCTCTGTATTGCCACCATAAAAATAACAGTAACCTTTGATCTAACCTGGAAGCCTTCACTAATTTACACACAAAATCTGGCGATAGGACTATCAAGTACAGTCAGCCCACTCGAAACCAGAGAACCTGATACACAGAAATGCAGCACATTAGTCACAAGTGATCAAAAGCAGGAACAAGCAATCCACAAAACAGTCAAAAGGTCAAAAACTGGTAACAATTTTTTCAGTAACAAACTACATGATCCTGACTATATTTAATGGCCGTGTGTGTCTGGAACTGTAAGCTGTATTCACCAGCTTAAGCAGCAATTATCAAACAAAGAGGCTGATTTGTAAGGCAAATAAAGAGCACTAGCATGACAGTATTTAAGTGAGCAAGGCCTTTTCCAGCACACTCAGTGCCATGGTTTGCATTATGCTGAGAACTTGTAGGCAGCATAGGACACTTATTCTCAAATTTTGAAAATTATTTACTCGTTTCCAAGCATGCACACAACAATGTACACAGAGACCAACAGAAAGAACAGCTGTTACGATATTCCATTAAAAATGTCCTAAGGAGAGATAATCTCAGATTTGTCCAGCAGATCTTGACAAAATGTTCTTGAACATGCAGCTAACTGAGACGCAGGTGCACATGATGGTCAGTGAGTCTTAGCCACCCTTCTTCACAGGCTTTCAGTCTCACGCAAAGCACACTGACACTGGAAAAATCACATGTCATGTGCATCAAAATATGTATGACCAAACTCAAATGGGGTACAGCAGGAGAGAAGGGCTTGGAGAAAGATTAATCAGACTGCTTGGAAAAGATGTTCTCAACTGAGGACTATTTCACTGCCTCGCTGGTAACATGAGGTTAGCAGCCAATGCATGCTGCCAGAATCTAGGACAAGAAACGTGCATTTAAAGCAGTTGTCTTGACTTCAAAACAGCTCAGCAATTACATGCATAGATTGGTAAAGAAATCACATCCGAACAAACATCAAGTCTAGAAAACTAGTTTTAGAAGTATATTTAAATGCCAAAAAGCCAGAGATTATACTAAGTAATCAGTTAGCTTCTATATTTGTTTTAAAAATAAGCAACAGCTAGTAATTTTGCAAGTAATGATCCTAGATATTTGCACTCCACTAAATATAATAACCTAAATAAATCTAGATTAGTATGTAGTACTAAATCAAAATTACATTAAAATCATAATAAAAGTAAACAAATAAAAACTCTGTAAACATAAATGATTCAGGAGCAAACCACTGTAAAACATACATAAATCAAACAGTACTAGATATGGATGGTGAAGACACTGTTCTGCAGCTAGTCGAAATGACTTTTTATTGTCCATTCCCTTTGAGGCAATGAATCCTCCTATATGCGTCCTCCTATAACCCAGCCTCTCCCAAGGTAGCCCCTCCTGCTGTCTCCTTGTCTCCTGAAACTCAACCCTGCTCTTGTCACAAACTTTGCAATATTTCCTGGGGTTTGAGTGGCTTCCAGGAAATTCAGACTGTTCCCTTTTCTTGGTATCATGAGTTTACACAACGCGTAACTTGAAAATACCAGTACATTCAATAATTTTAAAATTATGGCTTGAGAACAAACTTCAAAATAGCAGCAACAGCAACCCTGGCCTTACCTGAAGGATCTTGTATTGTCATTTCCTTACGCTTCAGCATCAGCTTGTCCTTAACCCATGGGAACTCCTGTAAGGAATCCAAGAACGCATCGAAAGCTTTGGGTCCTCTGGTGGGGAGAATATCAAGGAGCATCATGGTTTTCCTCTGACTAGTGGTTTGGGCTTTTATTTCTTGAACATGACTGTCTGTGAGAATCCCTTCTTGGTAGAGATACTGAATAACGAGTCCATCCACCAGCACCTCCGTGCAGAGCTCCAGGCGCAGGGAGCGTAAAAGCTGTTTGTCTCTGGCATCCATCTGGCAACCTAGAGCGTGTGAAAAGGAGTAAGGAAACATGTGAAAATTAAAATACTTCAGCCTTTAACATCCAGAAGTGATATCTGAACATCCAAAAGTGATGTCTGACACCTGTCAACCTTTAGAGAAAACTCCAAACTCAGAATCACCAACCTGGCAAAATTACTAATCATCCCCATCATCTTCTTTCCACTCAGATTTCACTGTCTCACGAGGTAAAATGATGCAATTTCTGGGAAATACTAGACAGGAATAGAACATTTGGCATTGCAAAGACCAATCCTTTGCTGGAGTGAAACCCATGCCAAATAATCCTGCCATTAACTGGTTATGGTCCATACTAAAGGAAGCTAGAGCACTTGTCAGTCCTTAAGAGACACTAACCTCCCAAAATTAAAGAGATGTCACACCTGACCACTGATGCAATTAAAAAAGCAGCAGCAGGACTGCTAGATGCATGTCAGGCAGGCAGAAGCAGCAGCAGGGACAGAATCAGCAGGTAGCCTTGGCCTACACAATGCATTTCAAGTTTAGCAGGGGTAGAAGAGTCCCTCATGTACCAGGTTCGTTCCCATCCCTGAATCATCCTGGAAGACTGCTCTGGAACTCAACTGTTCTGTTGAGAAGAAACTTTTTTGAATTTCCACCTCAAATTTATACCCTCCTATTTATAGGCATTTGTTCTGCCAAAACTGTTCCTTAGCTTAAGTAGCTCTTCTCCCTCTCTTCTAATGTGTTCACAGGAAGTGATCAAATGCCCTCTGCCAGCTTCCACTTCCTTTGACTAACACTCTGACTAGACAAAAACTGAAAAAGATGCATTTTATAGCCACTCTACAAAAGAATAATCAGGGTCCAGGGAGACCAAGCAGCTCATCCAAGATCAAGTCAGCAGTCCACGCCAGACTTTCTAACTGAATCAAAACGTCTAGTCTAGTCCTTAATAACAAACATATCCCTAGGCCCATTAATGACACTTGAAAAAGAAAATGACAGAACAACACTATTAAATACTTTTTCATTGCTAAATAATGAAGTCAAAAATGGCAGCAGGTGTTGAGTGTGATTACCAAGAGGGTTTCTCATAATTAAACTAGACACTACTGTTTGAACCACTAGACCATGCAGAAACTCTACTTAGTTGGAGGATACAAGGACAGACAGAATTTTCAAAGCTTTTGCATGAAATGTGATGAAGTCTTTTTACCATCAGAGGTGCCTACTGACTCCCACGGCCCCACCAAAGATTGTTTGGTTGGTCTGGTTGTTAAAATCCAGGACAATGACCAATAGAACGTACTGTCATGTAAATGGTACCTTGGACAGCATGCGAGAGCACAGTGCCATGAAAGAGAGACTGGAAAATCCTGTCTGTGACATCCTCTTACAAAGCTACTTTCCCAAAATGCTTCCATCAAGTGCTAAAAGCACTGCTGAAAAGCATCTTCCTTTAGTACTCCATCTTTCCCAGGCTACTCAGTGCATTTCTCATCTACCAAAGTGAATTTCAAGGTGCTTACCTTCTGGCTAGGGATCATGTGGGAATCAAATACTGCTATGCCAGCCCATGTCCCTAAGAAATGCCAGTTTGCCAAGCAGAGTTCAAACATCAAACTCCATCATGGACTGAGACAGTAGTGCAAGCAAGGAGACAGAAAAAGACCAGGCAAGAAGGAAAACTGCATTTTCCCACTTGATGTTAGGATGCTAATTTTGGACAGGTGAAGCTGAAGATTCTGGTCTCCAACACAGTACCTTTACACTACAGGAAGCAATTTCTGGACTACAACAAAATTCAGGCAGTAAATCCTACCACTTCTTCCTTCTAGGACAACACCCGTGTGCTCATGAAGTACTTGCAGAGCTCAAGAAAGGCATCCAGCAGCACCTCTGAGGGTGTCATCTCAACCCAGGCAGAAAACTGGTACAGATACTACAAAATTTTTGTGTTTCAGAGAGTCCCCATTCAGGAGCCTCCTCAAGTGCTGGATGAGGACTGTACAGAACTTGACAAGTTCCTCTTCTTCACGACCAAAGTAGCCAACACTTTTCAAAAATAAAGCTCTTTCAAAGGTTTGCACCTTTGAGCACTGAGAAATGCCTATCAAGCCAGTAATCCAAAGGGGGAATTTCTGCTAAACAAGGCCTTTGCCTTGCTGACCGCAGAGTACACACAACTGAGGGTTTAAAGTCCTAGCACCAGCCTGGTAAACCTCCAGGATGGGGCACACTGATTTCTAAGGTCTTTTTAAAGAGAAAGTATTTCTTTGTGTGTGTTTACTGTGAGAAGCAAATGTCTGACTTAGGAACTAGGCAGCTATGGATATGGAAACATATTAGGATTTTGATGTGTAACAGAGTTGGGACAGAGTTTAGTGTAACAGAATTAACAAATTCATTTTAATCACAGTCTATATCTAGGGATGCAAATTAAGCTCTGAATTAAATTTAGACTAGTAATTTTACAGAAAATTAAAAATATGAAATGTCTATTTACTCATAAGATGGCATGCTTCAAACATTCCCCAGATATTTCTGAAAATGGATCTGTTCCATTATAAAGCCAAATTTTAAGAAACATAGCCCACGACCTGGTGAATGAGCACAGTCCTTAACTCATCACCACACCAACACAAACAGGTTTGCATTTTTCTGTTTCTGAAAGAGTAACTGTCCATGAATGGGTATAAAACTTTTCATAAGAATTCCTTCTGATGCTAAAAAGGCACATTCGCTTAGGTCTTCTGCTAGAAACATATCACCATTTTCAGAACACCAACTGCACTCACCTGCATAACCCATGAACGATTCTGGCTACTCATAGCAAGCCTACGGGTTAAAAATCTTACGCGCGCACACACACACACACAGACACAAACACACAAACACACACACACACACAAACACAGTCACACCCCAAAAAAGCAGCTGCTGCTTCTGTAACAGCCAGGGGCCAGCTGCGCGCACCCCGGCCCGAGCCGCCGCAAGCAGCACCAGACCCCGGCCTCCCTCCGGGCAGGGCTGAGGCAGTGGAGGCGGCCCCGCCGGCCCGGCCCGGCCCCCCGCGTTAGCCCGGCCCCCGCCGGCCCCTGCCCGGCCCCGCAGCGCCGGGGATGCCGCCGAAAGGCTCCGCGGCACCGCTCGGCCGCTTCCCCCTCGGCGGCCTGGGGAGGGACGGGACGAGCCGAGCCGAGCCGAGCCGAGCCGTCGGCAGCGCCCGGGCGAGCGAGCAGTGTGAGAGGACCGCCCGCCGCCCCGTACTTACACGAGGGGAGCGGGAAGCTACCCAGGGCGCGCCGGTGCCCGCGGAGCTTGCGCGGAGAGCACCATCTTTGTTGAAGGCAAGAGGGCTCCGCCGGAAGCCGCCGCCGCCGCCGCCCTGCTGCGGGCCGGCCGAGGAGGGGCGGCCGCTGCCGGCCCGCCAGCGCGGGAGGGGCCCGCGGCAGCCATGTCAGCTGCGGGCGGCCGGGCCCCGAGCGGCGGCAGCCGCGGCTCCCCGGGAAGGGGCCCGGCCGTGCCTGCCGGTCGCCTCCGCTGCTCGGTGCCGGGGCGGGGACGGGAGGTGACTCCGCCAAGGAGGCGCCTTTCCAGGAGTTCGGAGGACGTGCTGCGCTCTCAGTCAGGGTGGTGGGGGTGTTTGGTGAGAGGAGGGGTTGTATCTAAAATTAAATTGGAAATTATGAAATTGCCGTTTTAATGACATTAGAAATAGCTGATCTCATTACTCTCTAGGCACACTGGTTCCTATTTCTGAGTATGCGCTAAGCTGAACTTCATCCTGGTGCTGGTATTGTCATATCAAACACAGAGCAGTATTATATCGAATACTGTACACATTTGGCTTCCTGAACAGCCTGAAAATGAAGAAACTTTAATAGATGAAAACCGTTTGGTGAAGTAAGAACTGGCCTGTGTCTACCACAGTGCTGTGCACATTCTTGTTGTTTTATTCCTCTATTACTGAATACTTTCTTATTCACTTCATTTTATACGGATATCTGGAACCGAAATACGGTAGAAAAGGGAAGACTGATTCACAGAGCTGTAAAAGTGAGGCGGTATCACTTTCACACACACACCATGGAATAACTTTTTTCCATCTTTGCATAAGTGTCAGGTGTCACACGGGGTTGAGTGGTGTCAGCCCTTTTCTTTTCATGTCGGGACCGCAATAGTGATGAAAGGGTGAAAAAGAAAAAATCTTCCAGTGCTGGAACATACTACCTTTGAAGCTGCAGGCGGCCACAGCAAGCTGGCTGTGTTCTGCACAGCGTGCTAATACCGACCCTCTGGAAAAGCAGGAAAGGTGGTTGCTGCAGCTGCTGCTAGAAACGTCGTCACCTTGTGAATCCCATTTGTACACTCTGTTTAGACTAATCGTACAGATTTAAGGGTATTTGAAATATTTAAGGGTATTTGGAAGCTAGTTGTGGAAACCTTTACGTGCCTTTCCTAGATACTGTACCCAGGAAATACTTGCCGTGGAAAAATGTAACCAAAAGTATTATTGATAGAATTCACATACTGCCTATGCTTAACATGAAATTTATCTACAGGATTTTGCATAAAGATAGGCAGTCACACTCAGGAAGCTTAAATCCTCTTCCTTTGATTTTCCTGTTGTTAACAGTTGATAAGTTATGTGGACACAGAATGTAAATCAGCCTTAGAGGCAAAGTTTGTATGCTGGTTTTAAGACATGTTTTTTAAAAAATAGATACATTTATCATGTGAATAGCTTTTGCAGAGATGCTATTTGTTTGCAGTTGTAAAGGGTGTTTTGGTTTGATGACATGATGCTTTTATCTATGATTATTTCCAGGTAATAAATTTGATACAGAGGGTTTAATTGCTCGTGAATAATTAATAAATTATATCTTATTACAATACATCTGATAAATCAAGGTAATTTTTTTTTGTCTCAGGCACACGTTAGTCTTCTAGGAACGCAGACACAAAAAAATCTAAATACTCTTCTGGGTTGCTTCAGAGCAATGCATTAACATATTTGACAACACTGGAAGCCACACACGTAAGTCATCATCGGTAACTCCAAGACAAGAAGTATACTGCTGTTGTAGCCAAAGTACAACTGAGGTGGTTTTAAATTTTCTTGCCACAATGTTTGTAATAATAGTTGTGAGAAGATACATTTGTAAACAGCGCAGAGCAGCACTAGGGAGCAGAGACACCACAAACCTTTGTAGGATCGTTCCTTAGCACAGTGTAACACATCTACTGAAAGTTTCCTTTCCTGGCTTCTTGTACTTCTGATTATCAGCGCTGCTTTTTTTTTTTTTTTTCTTCTCCCCTTTCAATCGGATATAACTATTATATCTGGAGCTGGAGTGACCAAACTTGGAGACTTCAGAGATTCTCATCATTGCAATCCTGACAGCTGCTTTTAATTGCTGATTATATGGCTGCATTTTAAAATAGAAAATTAGGACAAGCAGTTACATCACTTGCATTTACTGTATCTTTTTGCCAGATGAGGCAACTAGGTTTTTTAAATTTTATACTATCCAAGAATGTCTTAGAAAGTTAGCAAAACATATGGATATTCATAGAGCAGCTCCAGATTCCACCAAAGGAAATGATAGCAGTTAGTATTTATTTATACAGTCAATATTTAGTCACGTTTTTGCCTGCAATCTGAACAGAGATAGAAAGAAGGAAAGCAGTGAAAGGAAACAGATAAGCCTAGGAAGGAAGAGGACAGCACCAGAGGTCCAAATCTCATTAAGGGAAAATCTGGTGTTTCCTTTTCCTTCCACTAGTTAATAACCAGTGCTGCCAATTTGTTTAGTGGAAACTGTAAATATGCTACTGGTGTTTTAAGTTCATCTTTAACAATGCAGCCTGGGTTTTGATTATATAGTACAGGTACAGGATAAGGATACACAGAGTTAATACTTTAAGTCCAAGGAGTGAAGTCCTTAAATTCTTTGTTTCAGTCCCATTTGGGTTCAGCCCTCACTAAACGTCTTCCAGTTCCATCCTGGTCCAAGTCCAAAAAAACTTTAGAGAGATGGTTTGGTTCTATTTCTGTTTTAAGGATAAATACATGCATATATTTTACATATATTTCAGCCAGTTTGGTGTCAACTCAATGCCTCAGTAACTGCTCAAATCTCAAAGCTATCCATGTAGATTAAATTAGTATTTTCTAGATTTTGCAGATCAATGGACCATAGTCAATCCTGCACATGAGTATCCTCAGACTTTTAGTCTTAAAACTTGTTTTATCTGGTTCTGCAGATTGAGAGTCAATAAGTGGTCATCAGGCCATACTTTTAAGCACTGCTGAATTCAGGGTCACAAGTCCAAATTTGTGGGAACCAAGTTAGGCAGAATCTCTTCTGACAGTGCTTTTCACTTTACATGTGAGTTATTCTAAGTCATAATCCCAGATTTTTACATTTATTATGCACTTTTTTAAAGCTCACTTAAAAGTCACAAACCTTTTAGAAACTGTACCAGAATAATGAGACTTTTTAAAAATGCTCTTGAGATGATCCTTTATGCTAATTAGAGTCAAACTCTATCCAAGCCTGTGTGTATTTTGTTTTCTACAGACTAGTTTGTTTTCTGCTGATAACAAGAGCCCAAATGTGTTCTTAAAACTGACACAAACAGTGTGGATTATGGATTAGGATTGTACTATTTGGATTATGCTGTTTTCCATTGTCTGCAGGACAGCATTCCAGCTTTAGGGACAAAATAAATAATAGGAGCCTCTAGATTTGTTTATTAAAAACAGATCTAATTGTTTGTATCTCTCACAAAACCTCAGAAATTAAGAAGGGAAAAGAGAAACACATCTTGTATGCTTGCCTGTCAATTTTAGAAAGAAGGGTACAGAAAACATTTCTGTAAGTGTCTCAAAAGGTGTGTCTCAAAAACAGTGTTAAAATATAAGTCAGGGTGAGCCAAACTAGGTGGCCTGAAGGCCAGATGAGGTTGCTGTCCACTGCTGTCCCAGGCAATAACCCCTTCCCTTCCTCCCTCTTCTCTTCCTCCTCACCCTGGTCCCCATTGCACTCCTCTTTGCAAATGTGGGCCTCTGTAATGCCAAAATCCAAATCTCCTGTGCCAGTCATTGAAAACCTGGCTGATGCCAAGGAAGGGAAGGGTTTGGTATAGAAAGTTGGCCTAAACTGTAGACCAAAGCTTAGGCATGCTGTGCTGGATGCTGGCTGGATTTGAGGGCACTACGTGGTTGGTTGGGAAGGGGTGTTGCTCTTCAGGTGGCATTTACTGCTAGTAAAATTCCTTATCCTTCCTAAAAAAAGATGATGGGCAGGACTGAAGCACATCACTGAACAGGATCAACCCTTGGGCTGCTGCATAATTATTCTGATACTTTGTAATTTCCATTCATTTAAATAATAAAGACTTTCAATTAAATGCAGATCAAAGAGAATAATTAATATAAAATATAGGTGACACATCATGAACTTCCTTAAAAGTAGTATTTTATTAAAAGGCGCGTCCAGCATCTAGGTAAAATACAGAACAAAAAGTTTTAAAGCATCTTAAAACATGGTGTTTAAGGTGACGCTGTAATGTCTATACATTTACATTTGTTTCCATAATAAAAATAAGTGTTTATTAGCAGTACTGCAATGAATTCTTAGTGCTGTTTACTATGGTACAAATAATCCCTAGCAAAAAGTTGAATGAGAAATAGTTATAAAAAGGAAGCAGGCATCAAATGCAAAACTTTTGTATATGCTTCATTTTAAAAATCCAGTGAATTATATTTAAAAAAAGTGTAATTAATACTCGCAAAACATGACTCAGTATTTCTCAGAATTTGTAGTCCTTTAAATATATTAATTAATGTAGTTCTCTAAGTTTAAAGATTATTTGAGGAAACAGAAGAAATACTGCAAGCCTCTTATTTATTATTTATTCCAGACTTACTAAATTTTTTTAAAATGTAAAGCACCATTGTATTAATACGAGATCAAACAGAGAAAAGTCACAAATTAGCCTAAAAATCAAACATTGCCAAATGACTAAAATTAATTAAAGATTGAAGATTTCACAAAACCAACTTACTTTACTTGCAAATTATAGCATATGAAATGGTTTTCTAATATTTTAGATAAAGGACTGGAAGGTTGCTTTTATTTAGGGGGAGAATAACTATTGTTTTTTGTAATCTCCTGTTGCTTTCCCAGGATTTGAACTGGACAAACTCATATACAATACCTATATTTTGAAAGGTTCTTTCTTTAAGGTTAGACTTCAGGAGCTAGTAATGATTCATGGAATGTTTTTACAGTTAGCCTAGCAAGATATTTGCCACTGCTTATAC